GGGGGGTGCAGAAGAACGTCTGGAGGAGGGGGAGGACATCTGAGATAGCCACCTTTCTAAACCCTGTCCCCATGGACAAGGCAACACAAGGCCACACAAGGCCACACAGAACAGGCTGATGCTTGATCAAAGCGCTCAGATAGCACTGCTTGTTTCACTCCATTGGTCCTACTATGTCCCAGCCAAGTGGCCTTCATGGCAGCTACTAATGAGTCATTCAAATGCTCTTGACTGATATGGATGTGGCCTGGTATCTATGACAGTGGTGCACCAGAGGAGATGTTCTCCTGTTAAAATTCCAAAGTAAAAAGGCTTCAGCTTCACTAGATAGCAGCATCCTATCTTCTAGGGAAAATACCAGGTCATATGGTGCTGCTGATTAGACCATCTGTCTGGAGATACAATACATGCCAGAGCCTCTAATCACCTTTAAGGCAAGACACTACAAGTAATAGTAAGTTATCATTTGGGGAAGTTTCATGGTTGTACCTATAGTGTAGGTAATTTGTTTCGACCCAAATCTTTCATTATGTAAAAAATAAAACGTCTTTAAAGACAAAAACTCTCCACTTCAGTAGCATACACCACTTTCTAGTTTAATTTCTATATCGATACAGAAGATTTTTACTGAGAGTTTCTGTTTATTTCATTCACAGTCCGAATTATATTACATCTTGTTTCAAATGAAATGGCAAAATAATATATATATAATTTAAGACATACCCAACGTTCCTCACTCTGATACGTCGTAAAAAGAAAAATTGAACCTGGCTTTATCCAATGTTCAGATTTCTGTTATAAATGTTTACAAATGATGTCACATTTACTAAGATAATGTCTTATTTAAACATAACATTGGAAAAAACGTGAATTACAATAAAAATATGATATTTATAATAAATAATGATATCTTGTTCACCTGTAGTTTACCCCATTAAGAACATGTTCTTCTCTGAATGTATTTTTTTTTTTTAAACCATGTTAAACTAAAGGCTTTGTAATGCTTCCTCAGTGGTAGGCTTGCATCAAAGTCAGCTGATCTTAGGCCCTACTAACTCTTGATTCACATACACAGGTGTTTTTAATGTATTTATTTTACCTGATTACACTCTTTCGGGAGAGTGTTTTTTTGATATATCCTTACCCTTTCTGTGAAGGCGGAACATTTTACACCTTAATTCTTCCCAAATTGTAAAGTTTGGTGATTCCCATTTTTTTTTTTAACAGTATAGCACTAATTAACGTCACATTGAGGTCATTCGGGACAACACAAAACACCTGTGCAGGTCAGCCTTTAGGTTTGACACTTAACCACTTTTTGTTTGTTTGATTTTTGCTAAGCATTTATCTCTTTGATAAAATGCCTGCGACAAAACAAAGAGGTTTAAGTTGTCAGCTTAAAATATAATGATCAACATGCTGAGAGTTAACTGCACTTTCAATCAAGGCTTCAGGTAGGGTCACCTGTAAGAAGCAGCAAGCAACAGGTGATGGAGTGAGTGGTCACAGAAAGAACTGCCAGTTGTGTGGAGTGGAAACATTTTGAATCGTTGGCTGGAGAGTTAAACTTTGGGATCCAAATGTTAATCGGGGCTGCTACAAAGCCAAGATTTTCATGCCGTTCCACCATCTTTTTGGCCCACATTTGTACGGTCAAACAACTGGGACAGGGGCTGCTGTGGGCTGAGTCCTGCAGCTGGCAACATCTCCTTCCCTCTCTTGAGGACACAGTCCAGGGTGCTTCAGGGAAAGGCCACATCAACACACGTCTGCCTGATGACGTCCACGAGCTGCGGGGAAGCTTGTGAAGGCACCCACTGTTTAAACAAGCCTGTGCATGTGGCTGAATGGGTAAACAGGACTGGACCACCTAGCCTGTGCTGCTTTGCCTGGCAGCCTGGAGAGAGCCTGGCATGGACGGGCCGTAGTACCACATCGTCATCTTTACGGTCCTGCCTCCTGTTCTGCCTGCACGTCGGGACCCTTGAGGGCAAAGCCCCCCTTTCCTGCACTCATGCCTGTGATTTAGCAGGGGCAGCTTAGTCTCTTAAATGCAATAACAGCTGCTAAAAGCAACAAACTGAGAACCTGATATATACTCTGAAGGACTGACCCCTGCTCATGAATCAGCTCCTAGACAGGAGGTACTTGAGCATGGGTCATGAACAGAGTTCCCTGCAATGCCCTATAGATCCCCTTGCCTAATCACCAGGCTATTTTTGGGTTCCTCTCCACATATCAAAAGGCCTCTAAATGTCTCTTCGGCGTGGAGAGAATGTCTTTGGTTTGATTTAAAGCAGATGATGTCTTGTGGGTTTTTTTGGTTCTGAAACTATATTGTTGTTTCATGTTATGTTTATTTTTGAATCCAGTCATTTACAGTGTTTCGACATTCGCTCAGAGATATCCGACGACGCTCATAATGCCTTGACACAACGTCACAAACAGATGCTTTTCATAAGACACTGTAATTACAGGAGGAAGCTGTTGATGTGCTGCCATAGTTGTTGGTATGTTTGGACAAGAAATTAGCCGAGATGAGTAGACATATGCATGCTGTGTGCGTATGGACTTCTTCGCATACTGCGACTCGTGCGCCTAGGGCCAGCAGTTCCTTGGTCATGCATTCCCAGGGTGCATTGCTTTCTGACAGCTGTGGGGGCCTGTTAACACCCCGATCAGCGATGTGATTATGACTCTCTTAAGATACTGAACCACACGCAGCTTCTGTTGGACAAAGACGGGCCTGTCCACGCCGCCCGGGAGATCCTGACACAACCCCAGCTGGAACAGGCGGCACATTTATCTGGGCCGGTGTCCAGCGCACCTTCTCTGTCCTGGGAGGTTAGGGGCACAGGGAGCTATGTTCCCCTTGGCGAACAGAGGAGGGGGTGTTACAATTGATACACAAACTGTATACAATCAACACTCATAACATGCCACGGTGGGCCACCCCCTGAGCAAAGGCCACCCAACGGACTGGACTACTGGATACAGAGATTTGCGTTGTTAAATGTTTTTTCCATTTGTTGATGTTTTGACATTTCTGAATTTTGTGTGTCCCCCAGGATTTCAATGTGTATTTTCAATTTAATATCAGTGAATCCACACATGGATGATGGGAAATGGGTAAAACATCCCTGTCCTTCAAAATCGAGGGATGTCCTGCCAACACCTCAGTTCATCTGGCATAGACATTTCTGCAGCAGTGATTAATAAGCGATTGAATAGGAAACATGGAGAACTTGGCCACAGGGTGTCTCTTGTGGTTTATTCCACCTGAGACATGACTGGGGGTTTAATCTCCAGCAAATGGCGGAAAATGTTTTAGTTGAGGTTGTGCTGCAATCACTACAGGTCAAGGCTACCAACATGGCATCATTGAGGACGAGGAAGTAGAACATCCAAGACACCATTTTACTGCTGGGCCTGGGGCCTAAGTTTGACAGCACTCATGCCTCATTACAGCAGCAGCAACTGTATGTTGGACATCTTACAGATATGACATGATGTCCAATAAATATGAAGCTCAGTGTGTGTGTGCGCAGAGGGAGCAATACGTGACTAAACAGAGGCCTCTCTTTCAGCCAAAGTATTTTATGTTCTTAAAGGATTTATTCCAAAATCAACCGCCCAATATTTTAAAGGCAAAAGAGGTGGCTCTATAAAGATGGCAGCTGTTTTCTGCTTGGATTCACAGAGGTTGCAATAAAGCCTAATTGACACAATCATGGCAAACACTATGTTAATATGGCCAAAGAAACTTCTCAAACATATTGCAAACAATAATCACTTTGCCAATAACTCACAGGGACTGCCCATTGTTCTGTTGGCCCATTTTACAGAAAACCCGAAAGTCAGAACATTGTCCTTAAGTACTGTAGGCCTGTTACCTCAAATACAAGCAGCCATTATAACAAATGCCCATTGTTTTGAAAATACACACTCCCTGAAACAAAGACTCACTTTTGGCTATTACTATGCAGAATGAACGCTGCTACGGCAAGGCAAGATACGCGCTATAGTGCACTGCCTCTGAATCTGTGCCTACGTATTGTTTAGAGTTGGTCGATTAGAAGTGAGATTGGTTGAGTTGAGGGTAAGAACTTAAGGGTCAATCAGGGTCAGAGAAAGGTGGGACATGCCGTTGCAGAGTGCATTTCTTTTCTTTTTTTCTTCTCATATATGGGAAGCTTTTTGGGTTTTTCGGAATAAAAGTGTTGGAAGACTGGCATGACACTAACAAACAATGGCATAGCAACGTAACATTTCTTAACGCTACTCCTGGCGTAGCATATAAGCCATGAAGAGGTGATGAAGAGATTGCGGCACGGAAGTAGTGTGTTTAACTATCTTGTGGAGTGAAAAACTGTGTGAACATCGGTCACTTGAAAGACAGATCTTCAGTGGAGTATTCCATACATTTTTTGGGATATTTCCATCTCATTTTAAACCTGAAAAACACACCTGAACTTAATTGTGTTCCCAATGCTTATGTCTCACATGTGACCTTTAGCTTTTTGTAGATATTTCAGGGAGTGTCAGCGGCCTTGATTGCAAACAGCACTCCCATTTCTGTTTTTCCTCGGCACATAGAGGAGAAAGAGGAAGTCGCCTGAAGCAATCAGAAGGATCAGACATCTCTCTGTATCTGCTTCTCTCTCTTGTCTCTCCGTCTCGGTTCATTCAGATCATCTGTCCCGAACTGCTCCGGGCCAGCCTTGGCTGTTCCAACAACATAATTCAATTGTCTTTTTATCCACAGGCGATGAATAACCCCTGAATAGTAAATCAGCATAGTGGTGTCTCATCTCTGGACTGGAGCGCTGCTCTGATGGGTCCTCGGGGGCTTGGATGGAGAGAGACCAAGCAGGCTCCATTCCATCCCCCACTGGTGCAAATCAAAATAAAAGCCCCTCCAAAAAGGCCCAGCATGTGCTCAAGTCATTTGAGGCCCTGTCAAGAAAATACATCCCTGATTCCCATCCACATATTGACACAGACAAATCAAAAATGCCTTCCAGGCTGAAGCACACCCTCTCAATCTCGGCACTGTCACCAGAAGCTTATAGTGTGATGATGACACACAGTGAGCAGCATATTTTTGGAATGTTTGTCTACATTTCATCAATGAATCAGACAAAAAGGGTGCCAGTGAGAAGGATTGACGAACTGCAGCTTACAACAACACAAGTAAAGAGATACAACATAAGCAAATGAAGGAAACCCATGTAGTGTAGCGAAATACAAAAACACTTTGCACACAGCACATTGAAGTTGAATTTTAACGCAAATGTTTAGCTTTCTTGGCCACCTTCGGTACGTACTGTAAGCAGGTGTGCACCAATAACTCCAAACAGAGTTGATCTTCTGTATGTAAATGAGCGTGTTTTCATGTGTGTGTGTAACAAAGGGGGTGTCTCCCAGCAGCAGATGTTGGTGTTTTGTCAGAATAATTTGGTGGGAATTTTCATGAGCTGCACAAGGCCACAGCTGGGTTACAGGTGGGAGAAGGAGGGGTGGGGGTGGCGGGCGGTATAGGTTGTGGTAGTAGGGGGGTTAAGTAAGAGTGGAACCTCCGGACCCCTATGGGACAAAACCTGTTCTGGGCCAAAACCAGCCAGAGACTTAGACATACAGACATAAGGAGATGTTTTGGATGAACACAGCTATTTTCCATATTATTATGTTCCTTATCATAAACCGTTTGTCCTGTATTACTAATGAATATACAGGCCTGGACACACTCAGGGGCTCCTGGCCTTCTGTTTTTCGTGTATTTGCAGCATAGATGCACTCACAGACCAGATTGAAATGTTGCTCAGACAAATGCAGTTTTTTCTGCAAACACAAGCTCCACTCAATTCTGTTTTAAAGCATGTGAGGAAACAAGAGAGAAAGGAAAGTTTAAAAAAGAAAGCAAGACATTCGGAGTGGCAATTACCTCAGCTCTTGGCAGGGACTCTAATTAAAACCAAACTTGTTTCCTTCAGTGAACAAACATGACAGGCGCTGAGCAGAGGAGCTTTTTTTTTCACTCCTGCCAAAATATTAAGTGAGTGCAGGTGCTCAAGGAATGTCTACAAGGGAGGGGGGCAAGGCAGAGCTGACCTTTTTCTCTCTCCATTGTGTATGTGAGTCTCCATATGTGTGTTTATATATTTGCGCATGTGTTTCCTCCAAACCCTGACTGTTTTCACGCATGCTTTGGTTGCACGGCAGAGAAGTATACGCAGCAGTGGTTCTTAGCTGCTTCGCTGTGGTAGAAAACTGGAGCAAAAGCAAATGATTGTTATGTTATTGGGGAGAGACTGGGGGCTGCCCTAAGCAGGACCAGATGCAAGGGTCCTGGCGGCTCCTGGGCCTGATTGAAGGAGTCTCGGTAGCCCCAGCGGAGCCTGACAGGATTCACAGAGGCTTGGCAGACGGGACAATTTCCTCTCTGCACCCCCTTACAACACAATGAATACAGCAGCACCTGATCACATGATTCTCTGGGAAAGATATACCTCTTAGAAGACCATAAAGGGACATATGAGTAACACCTACGCGTTTTTGTGAAATTCTAGAAGAGGAAGAATCTCGTAATTTTGCTTACCTCACGCCAAATCAGCTACAGCATGGCACCCCAAGGGATCTCAATGTCTAACATGATTGAATTCAGGGCTTTCTGCTTGAAAGACGCTCTCTCTAATCACTATGTGGCCCCACTGCCCTAATAATGGTTCATAACTCATTATTAATGTCCATCCAAGGCAATAACTCTTGCTCATTAGCAGAGTCGCACATTTAAGCAGTTCCGTTCCTGGAAGTGTGCAGTCACTGTAGCGTATCTTCCAGCCGTCAGAGGTGGAGGGGATGGAGTTGGAGGAAATGCAGGCCTCTAGTGCAGGTGGGGTGTGATATTTTGGCTACTTCCTGTAGGTCAGACATGTCTGGCTAAAGGGGTGATGGGTAAAAATGTACACCTGGTCCAGATTGACACCTTGGGGCCAGGCAAACCAGGTGAACCGCCTGAGGACAGCTGCCTGAAAGGAAGAGATGTGATCTGAGATTTTGAGCTGTTTGAATAAGCAAACTCAGATTTTTGTAGGGTTTGTTAAGTGAAATGACAGCAAAGGAAAACACTGTGGTTCTACCTGCCACTAAAGACACAAAACACAATGAATAAACTGTGACAATCCCACTAACGGGACACAACCAGATGGGCCGCTCATCATCAGGATTGATACTTTATATTGTGCAAGACACAACAGTATTGATTTTACAATTTTTTCTTTCACGGAATTCAAATTGGGTGAATTTGACCTGTGAATTAGTTCTGCCGGCCAACAGAAACACCCATGATCCAGCATGACAGTTTCCTTACTATATATTAGAACGAAGTACTTTATATTTTGCAAGCACTGACAGTTGAAGTATGTATTTTTGCAACCAGAACTGTGGCAGCACTGAGCGTGTAAAAATGATGTGCTACCTGGGATTTTACTCTATTGGCTTAGATAGAAATCATACCATTCCCGCCAACTTCTCACTTCACAAAATGAAAATATCACACCTTTTTCCATCACAAAGAGAAACCTGTGAATTGAAATTGACCGCCCCTCCAGGACGTGCCCCCTCTACCCTCTCTGGCTCTGGTTAAATGCTGGCACTCCTGGTCACGTCTGCCTCTCACATTCCTCCCGAGTCCCGCCTCGCAGGACCAGGCATCTTGGCACAGCGCTGATGGGGAATTTTCCACAGGTCGACAGTGGAAGGGGCACACAGGCCCACCTTTGTCTGTGCCCGCTCTGCCTCCTTCTCGGCAGATCCTGCTCCCACAAGCACACACACACACACACACACACACACACACACACACACACACACACACACACACACACACACACACACACACACACACACACACACACACACACAATCTGCCATCAAACTGACTCTCAAATACACTCATACACAGCAAACAGTGACTTTTAGCCGTGTCCAGATGTTGGCATTTTAAGACTGTACCGTATTTTCTCATTTTGCTGTCAACCACTTGGTCTCAAGCTATATGTCGTATCCATGAAATGCAAAATAATTTCATAGATACCATTTAAAGTATAATCTCTGCATTTTTTTAATAATACAAAATGTTATTGTATCTTTGTATAACCACAAAAAAAAGTGCATCAAATGTTTTATGTTCACAGCTGCTCCCATGTGACATCATTGTTGGCTGTTCAGACAGGAATCTTATTTTCTGTTCGTATGAAGTCTGTCAATCATTAGCAGGTGCAACCAATCTGGTCTGGACATTACAGGCACACAAAGATAAACCTTATCATACCCCTCATGTAGTAGAAAACAAACATCCAGTATATTCCTTTTTCTGGCACTGAGCACTGCAGCCTGGATCTTGTCACTTTGACAACAGACAAACAAACAGCCTATGGTACCGTCGCCATGTTACACACAAAAACATAAATAGACTATTATGGACGCCTTAAAAATATTACACCGACATTTAATTAAATTAAATATTGTCCTGTTTCTGTTGGCAGAAAGGAGGAGTTCTCTCATGGAGACGACTTACCAGTGATGGAAAAATATGCCATTAAAGTGTGTGTCACACCTTATAAATGTCATAAATGTAATTTAACTGTATTTTGATTTATCGTAACTTGTGTACAGTATCACTCTGAAGCCTCTTTAAAACAATTTTAACCTACTAACTTTGCAGAAAAACATGTGTGCTAATGAAGTGTACTATGTAAAAACGTTTTCCTGTTAAGTTCTGAACCATTTAAAATGCTATTTCCAAACTTGCAGTTGCCGTTAAGCCAAACAGTTTGGGTCAAAAATGGCTGTAAATGCTTAGTACAAATTGACCCTGATGAGAGGGGCTCAGGGATTTTTCCCATGTAAAGACAGAAGTTTTTCCACCGCTCTCCGTTTGTTTCCCGCCGGGCCGATCTGAGCCCCCTGGTGGTGGGGTAATTAAAGTACCATAGTCCAGCCAAGCTGCAGTAACACTCCCAAATCCACAGAGAATGACCGGAGCCGTGGGTGCTCCTAATCCTGTTTGCGGCCATCGGGAACTACAGTCCCAGCCGGAAGACGGGGAGGTCGAGGACAGTGGACAATAGCCCAGCAGAGGGAGAGGGAACGAGGGAGGGTGGGAAGGATTGTGAGGGACAGCCAACCTGCATTCACCCTCACTCCATGTCTCCCTCTGTTTCACTGCTTTTGTTGGTGAAAAAAAAATCTACGTAACCTCCCTCCTCTCTTTACCATTGTCGTGGCATCAACCTCCATTTTTTTATTCAGTTAGTTCATTGAACAGGAAAAGGGCAGGGTAGTCAACAGTACGGCGAATGAACAAGCCATGTAAGGTTAATTCATCTGTACTGGACTTTAGTCACGCAAGTGTTTCATACATTTGATATCATAAAAATCTAATTTGTTACGTTTATGAGCCATCTTTCAGCCAGCATAGAATTACCTTTGAGATGAACTTCACAAGTACATGGATATGATTTATATAGAGCAGGGGTCAGCAACCTTTTTGATATGAAGTGCCATTTAAAAAAAGAAATGTGATCAGTGTGCCGACGTTCGTGAACTGTCAACGGGGGGGAGAGTTTGACGCTTGTGAACTGTCAACAGGAGGGCGGGGGGAGCCTCGCTGCGGGGAAGCTGTGGACCTCTTTCGTCTGTCAGCGCAATTTAGGTGATACCGTTTAAACACATTTAAATAAAGGGCGGTGCCGAACCGAGCCGTTCTGTGATTCTCCAGAACACACAGATGGCCAGTCTGCCCCTGTGTAGCATATTATTTTCGATGACAGATGAGCAGATCGCCACTGGGCATTCAACTAAAGACACAGCCATGCAGAAAATGCGGCATGTGTACACCTCCTTATGGGTACTGCAATTTGTGAAGTTCCGGTGCGCTCCGGCAGCACTACACCCCTGATCGCTTCACCACGGAGGAAAGCAGCAGAAAGTCGACTGGAGTCAAAGAGAGCGGGGCCTAGAAGTTATCCTCCTGCGCTGCGTTGTGTGGATGGCTTCCTTCTGCAGGTAACGGGAAGACGTGCTCTGGTCTCGTTCAGGATCCGAAATTCTTTTTTTATATTTTGCACACTTATTCCTAGTGTGCCACTAGTTACGGTACTGCATGCCAATGGTGGCAGGCGTGCTTAGGGTTGGAAAATAACAGCTGACCATTTACCAAACACGTTAAAAGCTGAATTTATGTAGCCTCACATGACCTGCCATTTATCTTAACAAGCTGAACTCTCTCTCCAGCCTCCCTGCTCATATGGACAATAATCCCCTACACTGGATGGGACTTTTGGAAACAGTTCTAAATTGGTTTGAATCCTACTTAAAAGGACTATAGGTAAATACACATCTGAGTTGACAAATATGACATGTGGGGTACCTCAAGGCTGCATCTTGCATCTGCATCTTCATCATCTACATGCTACCACTGGCTCAGATAATGAAAAACAACAAAATAAGCTACCATAGCTATGCGGATGACAGAAATGTACGTAACAATTTCACCAGGAGACTAATTTCCAATTCAAACACTGAGTAAGGGCATTGAACAAATCAATGACTGGACGTGTCAGAACTTTCTCCAATTAAACAAAGATAAAACTGAGGTAATGGTTTTTGGAGCCAAGGCAGGACGTTTAAAAGTTAGCGCTGAGCTTCAGTCTGCAATGTTCAAAACAACAGATAAAGCCAGAAATCTAGGTGTAGTCATGGACTCTCACCTGAGTTTCAACAGTCACAGTCACATATCTAGGATTAAAAGACTGATGTCACAGCAGGATTTGGAAAAACTTGTCCATGCTTTTATCTTCAGTAGACTGGACTACTGTAATGGTGTCTTCACAGGTCTAACTAAAAAATATGTTAGAAAGCTGCAGCTGATTCAGAATGCCGCTGCTCGAGTCCTCACTAACACTAAGAAAGTAGATCACATCACTCCTGTTCTGAAGTCTTTACACTGGCTTCCTGTGTGTCAAATAATATATTTCAAAATACTGCTGCTGGTTTATAAAGCTTTGAATGGTTTAGGCCCAAAATACATTCCTGACCTCCTGCTAAATTATGAACCATCCAGACTGGTCATCTTTCTGTCCCCAGAGTCAGAACTAAACATGGAGAAGCAGCGTTCAGTTATTATGCTCCAAATATCTGGAACAAACTCCCAGAAACCTGCAGGTCCGCTGCAACTCTTACTACTTTTAAATCCAGGCTGAAGACTTTTCTTTTTGCCGCTGCTTTTAATTGAACTATTCACATCTTAAACTGCACTGTAACTTTTAACCATGTATTTTTTCTTTTAATGTTTATTTTATTATCTTTGCTTTTTGATGACTGATTTTACATGCCATTTTCTTAATGTCTTTACTTTTTTGTAAAGCACTTGGAATTGCCTTGTGTTGAAAGGTGCTATATAAACTTGCCTTGCCTTGTTTTCCTCCTCTCTCAATGTTCTGCAGGAAAAGCCACAGTTGTTCAACAAGGAGGAGTTTCTTCCTCTGGACCCGACCCAGGAGCTGATCTTCCCTCCTGAACTGATCGTAAGACACGAGATATTTTTTCAAGCAACAAGAAGTTCAAATGTAACACACTGCTCAGAGTGTTTACTCACAAAGGGTCATTCCAGGTCGTGTTTATCCAATACTGTTCCCATGAAGCTGCAGTATTAAAATGCAAGTTTCTCCACAGCTGATGTCAGAGAGCGCGAGCCCACAGAGCCTCACCTTCCAGGGGGAGAGGATGCGTTGGGTGTCCCCCTCCTCCCTGCAGGAGCTGCTGCAGCTGAAGACCAGAAACCCTGCAGCTCCTCTGGTGATGGGGAACACAAACATAGGTCAGATTGATTTTAGGTTTATTCAGACTTTCTGCAGCTGTTCCTTTGACAGTTTATCACAAGTACAAAACAGTCATAGTCATTAGTGTCCAAGTTGACCTACACTCTGATTCCTGTTAAAGGTCCAGATATAAAGTTTAAAGGCACCGTGCACCCGCTGATAATCTCTCCGACGAGAGTGATGGAGCTGTTTGAGGTCACTCAGACTCCACAAGGTAAAAACACATTTATAATATCAATTTTTACGTAATCATCGTACAGATAATAATTATTTTTGAACTCCTCTTTACTTTTCAGGTGTTTGGGTAGGGGCGGGCTGCAGTCTCTCTGAGCTTCAGTCTCTTCTTGAGAAGCTGCTGCTTCAGAGTCCGCTGGAGAAAACTGAGCTGTTCAGAGCTCTGATCCAACAGCTGGGGAACCTGGGAAGCCAGCAGATCCGTAACGTTGCTGTAAAAACACTTTACTCATTTATTAGTATCAGAGAAATATTAGTCCCTTCGATTTAGAGGATGTATCTACAAAGCAAGTACAATGAAAGAAAGCATGAATAAGAATTATAGAAATGGAAATGACTGAAGTGTTTTTATTTTTGCTTTTACACGTTTAGTCTCTTGGAGGCAACATCATGAGCGCGTTCCCAAACTCAGACCTGAACCCTGTTTTAGCTGCTGGGAGCTGCAGAGTGAGCGTCATTTCTAACGGTGAGTAGATTTCTGGGAGAAGATCCGTTCAAACTTTCTAAAAATGAAAATTAATGTCAGACACTTTTGTTCCTTTTTACCAGGAGGAAGACGAGAGGTTCCTCTGGATCAAAACTTCTTCGTGAGCTTCGGGAAAACCATCCTGAAGCCAGAAGAGATTCTGCTTTCTGTCTTTATTCCCTTCTCCAGGAAGGTACACATATCGTTTCTAAGAGTCCTCCCATTTGCAGTGTATTAAGATAGATTAAGTAGTTTGTTTGTAACAGCTGATAAGAAGGTTAAATCTGATCTCCTCTGTGTGTTCCTGCAGGGGGAGTTTGTCCGAGCTTTCCGACAGGCTCCGAGGAAGGAGAGCAGCTTCTCCACGGTGACCACCGGGATGAGGGTGTTCTTCTCCGAGGGGTCCCGGGTGGTGCAGGATGTCAGTATTTACTACGGTGGGATGGGACCCACCACTGTTAGCGCCTCCAAAACCTGCCAGGCTATCACCTCAAGGTGTTTGATTATTAGAAGTAGATAAGCAGGATTTTCTTTCCTCTATTTCCCACTTTCTTTTTGTCATTATTCCACCATCCTTGATTTCTTTATTCAATAAAACGACCAGGCATGACTATAGAGCGTGTTTCCCTTCAGGCGTTGGGACGAGGAGACCCTGAGCCGGGCGTATGACATCCTCCTGGAGGAGTTGGTGCTCCCTCCTTCGGCTCCTGGAGGAAAAGTGGAGTTTCGTCGCTCTCTGACTCTCAGCTTCCTCTTCAAGTTCAACCTGGAGGTCCTGCAGAGACTCAGAGACATGGTAGGACAAGGACTGATACAAAGAAACATGCTTTAATTCCCTCTAGAAACCAGTAAGATACGAGAGTTTCTGTGTGCAGAATGTGATTACAGATGAGGTTCCTGAGAAAATGCAGCCTCTCCCCAAAGAGATCCAACCCAGCCTGCAGGAGTTCCAGGTGAGAAAATAAATGTTAATCTAAAGCATTTTACATTTTGATAAACCACTTTTAATATGCAAACCTGACTTCTTCTTCTGCTTGTTCTTCAGCATGTGTCAAAGAGCCAGAGCGAGCAGGACCCTGTGGGGCGTCCCATGATGCATCGCTCCGCCCTCAGCCAGGCCACAGGAGAGGCGGTTTACTGCGACGACATCCCGACGACAGACGGGGAGCTGTTCCTCGCTCTGGTCACCAGCTCTCGAGCCAAGGCTAGAATCACGTAAGGAAAAAGTAAGGATCTCTGACTACAATTTAGATTTCCTTCATCGTTTTTAAACTTTTACTTTTAATCCGACAGAGGGCTGGATGTGAGCGAGGCTCTGCAGCTTCCTGGTGTTGTGGATGTCATCACAGTCAAAGACATTCCTGGGAAGAAAGTCCGTGAAATGTGCGGGTATGAAGAGGAGCTGCTTGCTGAGAGCGAGGTAAAGTGTGAGCGTGTGCACACCTCTTTCTAATGGTGTGTGTACACATTGAAAACAGTGATAGTTAGAAAACTGACTGATGACATATTATTTACACTCAAGTCTTACACCCTCTTTACTGATAACACTGTGTAGATCCTTCAAAAAGCAAACAGAATTCCAACTTATTTATGGGAAAACACTTTAATTTCAAGGTTCATTTTGTGATTCTCATGTGGCCAGGGAAAAGAAAGTTTGGGGCTCTCTGCTGGAACTGCTACCTCCGCGACCCGACCACGGATAAGCGGGAGAAGATGGATGGATGGATGGATGGTGATTAATGTCCTTTTTCTGTGCAGGTGTCGTGCGTGGGACAGATGTTGTGTGCGGTGCTCGCTGATACGAGAGCTCACGCCAGAAGAGGAGCAGCGGCGGTGAAGGTCGGGTACGAAGACCTGCCGGAGCCCATCTTCACCACAGAGGTGAGTGGAGTCCTGATTTACTGACATATAACAAATCCAACCTGAGATGCGCTTTTTGTGTGGATTTACCACGACAGTTTGTATACAATTATGGAGTTTCTTGCAATAATGTAAACACAAAAAAGCATAGTTAAAGGTCCCATGTCATGCTTTTCCGGTTATTACCCGTCCCCTTGTGTGTTATGAAGGTTTTTCTGCATGTAAACGGTCTGCAAAGTCACAAACCCTCAAAGTACACCCTGTAGCGAGTAAAACTCTAACACAGAAAATACCTGTCTATGCTGCCCCAGAACGCCTCGTTGGACATTTCTCTTTTTCCATTGTTTGCTTCCTGGGTAAGACTAAAGACTTTTCTTTTTGCCGCTGCTTTTAATTGAACTATTCACATCTTAAACTGCACTGTAACTTTTATCCATGTATTTTTTTCTTTTAATGTTTCTTTTATTATCTTTTCTTTTTAATGACTGATTTTAAATGCCATTTTCTTAATGTCTTTCATTTTTTGTAAAGCACTTTCAATTGGCTTGTATTGAAAGGTGCTATATAAATAAACTTGCCTTGCCTTGCCTTGCCTTACCCTGGGAACACCGGGCAAAAGAGAAAAAGGCACAGTGGTAATCCAGCCTGCAGGTGTGCCCCCCTTATCTCCCCTCTCTTTAGGGGGTTCAGACCGGTCCCGCCCTCTCCTGAACGCCCTAGCACCAACCCCAAAAATCCAATTAGACTCTTTCATTAACAAACCCAGCAGGGGGGGTACAAACAGTGCCCTGTGAACAGCCACATGCTCAAACGGACACAGCACTCTGCACCTGTGCGCTTTCCCACACTGGGAGGTGTAGACACGACCGAGGGCGCGACAAACGCTTTCGGGATACATGTTGACTCATTTCCGACAAGGCCGCTGAAAACTTCACGAAATGTCCAGCTCTGCACAGGCTGGGCTCTGTGCTCGGTTTTCCATGATGCCATGTCCCCAACGGACAGACACAACACTACGTCTCACTGTGACACCCTATTACAGCTTGTGCATTACCTCACTGCTCAGGAAGCCGCTGCTCAGACTCTCACCACCCCCTGACCGTCTGGACCAAGAGTACCCAGCAGAAGGTTAGTGAGATCTGTCAGTAGACAGAGACATTTTCTTACAAATGCAGTATATAATTGATAAAAAAATATATAGACTACTTTTTTAAACCATTTTATTCCTACTCAAGCATAATTATCCTGTATACACTTTGTTATGATGTGGCTAGTGGACAGTTACCCCTTAACGGGACAGTTCACCCCCAAATCAAAAGTATATATTTTTCCTCTTACCTGTAGATAGTTTTGGTGTGAGTTGCCATGAGTTGGAGATTTTGTCAAGATATTGGCCTTCTCTCGAATAAAATGGAACTCAATGGCACTTGGCCTGTGCTGTTCAGGTATATTTTTGTTGCTCAAAGCAAAAAGAAAACTATCGAAATCCTCAATTGCCATGTCTTAGAAATAGAAGTGTGCATCTCCTTAAGGAAAATGGACGATGAAGGCTTGTGACAGCGTGAGTATTTTCGATTTAGTACGAACTTGCTTGTTAAAAAGCTGAAGGGAATTTGTCCGTTAAACATATTAACTGAAAAATAGATTGTTTTCTGTGGCTCTGCGTGTCAAAAAGCCCACCTGTAGCTGTACAATTTGAAAGAAGTGCCCGCTAACTAGGCGCTATCTGATACCTACCCTTGCTAGCAAGTCTGAACAAGGCTAACGGGACATTAGCTTAGCTTAGATTAAGAGCATTTTTTTGACAAAGATTGCTGCTTAATGTTCTATTTTTTTCCTGTTGCTTTTTTTATTTCATTCAATGTTTTTATTTCTAAAACGCTTGACAACCATGTTTTGTTTTTTCAGTGTACTAGAGAGCAATTGCAGGAAAAGGCAGAGGCGAGGAAAATCATGCCATTAAGTTCAACCAAAGCGTTTGCAACCTTCACTTTTAATTCCAGCCTCTACTCTCTGGTTCCTCTGGTCGGCACAAAAAATCACAAGCATAATTTATTCCAACACCACAAGGGGAAATTCTGTGTAATTATGAATTACTGTAACTGTCCTAATCACTTTCACCATGATGAACTGTATCTCTCAATTGGATTGTTTTTGATGTTTTATTTCTCCTTATGCTGAAAGGCAATCATTTCTCTTTTCTAGGGCAAATAAACCTGAACATTGAGGCCTGAATTCTCCTGATGTGGAGTACGCTTGGCCAGCATTTCCGCTGCTTGTCTGGTCCAAGTAATACTGCAGACTACATCCAACTTTGGCTAAGGAGAGTGAGCAGGGTGGTGGAGGAACGTGGGGGTGGGAAGCTGCAGTTGGGTTGGCAGTCGGCTACAGGCAGGTATCCACAACTTGTGCTGGCCAGAGAAAACACTTCCTGGCAGCCCATCTCCGCACATACACCCTCCCCAGACACTCGCTCTCCCCTTGTGTGACACGTTTAGCTGACACTCCAAACAGAAATGGAAAACATGTGTCAAAGGGGAGAGAAGTGTACATAAGGCTCTGTTGTTCCCACATAATAATTCTCGTCTTTTCTTTAGACTCAGCCCTGAAATCCAGACTGACGCATCCCTGCAAAAACATTGCGGAATATTTCTCTGACGTTCCCTGATTAATTGTGACATAAAAGGTCAAGCTCGTGGAGTAACCTCTCTTCCCACGTATGGCTAAGAATACAGAACTGCTTTGTCTCAGGGGTTCTTTAAGGACACCCCAATTTTACTAATTAATTATTAAAATAATAATGCTTTACAAAAACAGTTGATACTTAAAATAACTGGATATTGAAATAAAAACAATTATTTTGAAGGTATTTAATTTCTTTCGGCACCTGTTATAACCACTTCTAACCAAAATAAGCCATTTAAGGGAATGATTAAGCCTTTTCCTCATGAAGAAGCATCAGCCTCTTATCCCTCTATCTCTCTGCGTCAGAGCACAGCGTTACGTTATTCCTCCGTCTGAGGAGCTCTCTTTCTCTCTCTGCTGCGAAACCCCTGCATTCCAGGAGAAATCGCAGAATCAACAGGCATGAAATTCATTTCTCACATGGCCGCATCTGCGCCTCCTAATCATAACCTGGACTGACAATTCAATCCTGCACTCCATCGCCTGCTCCCTCCTCCCATCCCGGCTTCCCCACTCACCGTCTGTCTCAACCAAAACTCCCTCGTCTCCCGCAGCCTCCTTCGGCCTCCCTAATTGCATTGCTCCAGCCCCCCTCCCCCCATCCCTGCCTCATTAGGCCCAACAAAAAACAATTAACAACGCCAACTATAATTACAGTAATGGCCATAAGGGAGCTAGTGACCTGGTTCCTCGCCACAGCTCCATCTAGCTAACCTCCCAGCAGCACACCCACCTTCTTGCCTGTGTGCTGGGAGCATGGTGTGGGGAGGCTGGGGGACCGGACATGGTGTCAGGGTGTCTGAACTGACTGACTAATGGCTGGTCGGAGCGAGTGATTAGGCTGAGGGGGGGGGAGTTGGATTTGGTCCCCAGGCGAGACGTGTTTTCTGGGCTGTTACATCAGGGCGATCGAGGGGGGGGGGGGGGGATTGGACAAACAGTCCAATTCATCATCTGTGTGCCTAGAACGATATGAAAGTGATGGATGTGTAAAGTCAGGTAAATGAGTGAATTAGAGTAGTGGCCGATTACAGCAATTTACCCTGAGCACTGCCAGGAATATACATTCCAGGCCGCAGCACACTGCTGGCTGATCCCAGATGCCTGGGCCTGCATATGAGGGGAATGGGAGTGGAACAGGTTCTGGTCAATGGGAGTCCTTCACGGAGTATGAGTTCACAACAAACCATAAACCCTTGGATTGACGTGCCAGAATAGAGCTGTGGTGATTAAGAAAAGATGATCCATGAAAGGAAACGGCAAGTGCACCTGTAAAGAGAAGAGGTGTTGACTGAATAATGCCTAATTTTTTTAGAACTAAAGTGAACAAATTATACAGTAAGGATGAATAGTATATGTTCACAGGGGCGTTCTTGGATTCAAAACGCCCCTGTTCAAGCCCATCATGTTTTCCAACAAGACCAACATAGCAGCCTATTTGGAAAAAAAATGTCCTTACATTTTAGATAAACAATGGCTAGTTCAAACAAACCTGCAAGTCGCGCTAGACACAAACGATTTTAATGAAGTAGCCAAAATGTAACTTTATGAAAATAATTCACTCAACGGAAAACACCCCATCTCTGAAAACACATCTGCAATTGCGAACAATGACAATAAATGTCAAGCAGGTGGACGCATACCACCAGTTCGAATCATTACACTGAACTGAACAAAATGATGGCAACCAGCAAAACCATTGGTCATTTACATCTTTGCATATCGACTTTTTTCCTCAATGGAGGTTTGTGATGGTGTATGATGGTCATGCTAAGACAAAGTCTGCTGTGCCATTCTTCACGCTACCGACTCTGATTAAAGGCTGCATGAGTCGATTATGTCTGTACAGCGAGTGTAGCGTGCGTCAGTATCGGCCAGGGTGAGGGTGCTCTGGCAGTCTGGCAGCGCAGTGCTCCGGGCCCCTCGCTCCCTGGATTAATGCCGATTGTTTGGGAATGACTTGGAGTTCTGGACCACACAAGGAGAGCTGGGGGAACGCTGGCCTGCATGGGGCTGCAGGAGAGGGAAGCAGAGGGGAGTCCACACAGAGTTTCTAGGAAGGTCCCTACTACCTCTCGCCGTTTCCTTCCTTCTTCTTCCTCCACCGCACACACAAATACTCTTTCCTTCTTTGTAAATCTCAATCTTTCTACTTCCTTTTTCATTCACCCTTTGAAAACCAATGAGCTGCACTCGTGCCTCTGCTTTCCTGGGGTCAAGATGAAACGCCATTTCCCCTGACTACAGCCCCTACCTGCACTGCTGAGTGTGTGAATTTGTGCATGTGGATGTATGTTTGTGGTGTTCTGTGGGAGGTCTAAAGCACAGTGTGAGAGGACGCTTATGGGAGGGATACGAAGAGGACAACAATTCATAAAAAAAAAAAACTCTGGCTTCAATTAGCTGAACTTCGCTGGTTTTTGGTGTGAGTCATTAGAGATGGCCGGCGTTTCGAGACAATGTACTTTACTGGCGTGAATCGCTCTGTAAACACGAGGGAGTATATTGTTGAGTATATATTTCTTTGCTGAGTAATCAGTTCAGTCAGCAAGTAAGCAAAACTCTCCCGCTACAGAGAAAGATGCTGACAGGGAGCGCTCTGCCTGCTCAGCCCTAAAGCTCACATGATGTGGAAGAGGAGAGAATAAAACGCCAGAGCTGGTAATGACAGGAGACACGAGACTGACAGCTGTGTTTATAAAGCAGGGTGTGGGAGGCTGGAGCCCGGCGGATTCACTTCATCCAGAAAATGGCTCCCATGACCTGCACAGATGCTCTCTGAGACTCGATAGCATTCATGTGGGAGCGCCTTATAAATCAAGCAGGAGCTTCATATCAAATGCTTTTTATTCACTGTCTGGAATGACTAAAACTCACCGGCTGGGATGCTCGGTTTTGGGTTCCCAAAGGATGGAGTACCCAGTGTGTGTGTGTGTGTGTGTGTGTGTGTGTGTGTTGGGGGGTTAATCTGGGGTTGAGCCATTGATCTAATTTTAACTGTCAGATTTTTTTTTAAACACACTCAA